CCACGAACACGTATCAGGTCAACTTTTCCTGTTGATCTGAGGTCACGGAGCATTCACTAGCAAAGCAAGTTCCCGAAGGCTATGAACAGTCCTTTCTTGCTCACGCTCATCCAACCCTCATCTGTTTCGCTGGGCCAAGAGATAGACGTCTCACAGTTCCGCATGAGTCTGATATCGGATGTGGCAGCCAGGGAGCACCAGATCTGGGCCTCGCGGCGATACAAAGGAGCTCAGGAAAGTAGGAGCAAGTCTCTACCTAGCCGCCACAAACCCCGCGCTCGCTGTCTACCTATCCGACGATGTCGACCGTATTGCCTATTCAGCTTCCGCCACTTGACAACACTTTTGGCGCAATGCTGCTGGGGATGTTCATTGGATTAATGTAAGTTCCATATTCGTTGACACTGTCGGGAATGTGAGATGGGCGTACTAACCGATATTCGACGTCATAGGATCTATGGGGTGAACCTACATCAGGCCTATCGGTACTTTCGACGCTACCCAAGAGATTCTTTGATTCTGAAGGCCTTAGTAGGTCCAGCGATTTCATGGAATGAATGTTAGTCGAGTGGCTACTTATCGACATGATCTCAATAGGTTCTGGTAGTCTCGTCAGCTGCCCTATCATCTTGCACTCATCTACATCATTTAACGAGATACGAGTGTAACAGAACGATGGACACGGCAGCCGCTGTATTGAGTATAAATCCCTGGTTGGTTCCCTTGTCTATCTGTTCTTTGGCGTTTGCATGCGTATTTACGCACATCAAGCTATCAGAATCTGATAGGGGACTTCTTCCATCCCGAAGATCTACTGTACACTTCATGGTATACACTACCGTTCCTCATGGTATGCGACACGTGCTGAATGGATCCACAGGAACACTGCAGTGCGTCAGTTCTCACAATACGTGACTTATGTGTTAACCCAGACGCACACCATCAAGATATTTCCGTTGTGCACCGTAGGATTTGAATCACGTATGAAACGAGGGCTACGCACTGACTCCTGATACTAGGCGGCCGTGATGTTGCCTTGTCAGAGGTAAATGCTTCCCTAAGTCAGCCTTCGGTAATACGCGGCCTGCTCAATGTTCCACAACAGCTTCTTTGCCTGGCGTGTATGGCGTCTCGCTCCGAAGTTCAGGATCATGGTAGTCGTTACGGTGATTGTGGTTTTGCTGTATAACTAATACCCAATGCTGATTCGTACTGTACCAGGGTGTGCTGTATATCGGAGAACTCAGTGAGATATTCTCCACACTCTTTGCTTGAAATGGGCGCGCCTGATAGGTCGGCCCGCTATTCAAGCCGTCTTCATAGGTGTGTTTCTCACAGACACGCTTTTGCTAGCATACTAAACGTGCAGTGCAGTAGCAACATACAAGCTGTATGCCGCTAACTCCAGGTGCATTGGTAGTCATGGTCCACTAACAGATGTCGCAGCTCCAAAATCTCACACATCTTGGAGACTACGAAAGTGATGGTGAAGTCCCTGATATCAGTAGCTAACGTTGCTGAACAGTAGCTAACACGCCCACCTGAAAGCGGATGATTACCGCGGCGTCCATATCAGGGCTCGCGGCAGATTCTATGCTTACAGCGGCCTTGATAGTGGTACTGCATCGCAGTCGCACCGGATTCAAGAGGTGAGCCCTTCAATCCGATAGCGGAATGAGGCCCGACGTTCAGGATGCACTGCTTGTCTACAGGACAGATTCGAAGATCGATGTCCTTATCATGTACTCGGTCAATACGGGTGGGTGACCGTCCCCGTGCGAGTGAGCTCACATACATTATGAAATCTGACACGCGTCAATCCGTAGGATTTCTTACAGGGTAAACCTCATGAAACACATTCACGAAAGCTGGCATGGTGAATCTTACGGCTATCTACAGAGTCTTCAATATGCTTTATGTGATTTTCGTACGTTGGAAACTCGCCCGGGTCCCTCCTGATGGCTTATAGCTAAAGTACGCTAGGCCTATACTAAGCCATACTCTATGTTGTATGTCGCAACCACATTCATTGGAGTGAAAAGTATGTTGTCATCTCTCGGTCCTGTCACCGAACTTATCTCACGGTGTTCTGTCTGGCCCATCCAGTGTATACGGCTACACTGCTTGCCGCGTAAGTCCCATGATACCATTCTTCTACCATCCAATCTATCACGTCTCACCCTTCACTGAACAGACTCAATTCGCGTCGGTCCTCAGCATCCCACACCCTGGAGGACGTGTCCAGCGCGGACCTCGTCTTTGGGTCAAGCGGTGGACTCCAAGCATCGCTCCAGACCCTCCCTGGACCGTCAGATACTCAGGCTCGCGCCAGACAGGTAATAACGTTTGCCTCTGCGGCACATCATTATAAGCCGCCCTTACGAACCTCATTCAGCTGCCTGTACAGACCACATCGCCCCGAAACGAAACCGCAATCATCGAGTTGAGAGTGATCCCGAGGTTCGGCACCGAAGTACCGTCTGCTTGCCTTTTGGCCATAGACGTCGACCGCGCTTGTGTTGGGGAGCCTTGAAGGTTGCTTCGAAGACGCTGTCTCGTCGCAGATCGGCCCCTCTGTGCACTATACCCCAATGTATTGAGCGGTTCCCTCTTCTCAATTTGCACATGTAATAACCCTATAAGTCCATTCGTCCGCACCGCCAAGAGCCTGCGCTATGAATATCAGGCGTTCACTTTGCACACTCAAGCGAAGAACTGCTTCAGTGCCTTTCCAAGGAGTGGGACACCAGCTGCAATCGCCTCCTCCGAGCCGGCGAACGTCGCCCGAACAAAGTTCGAGCGCTATCATGCGAAGAGAATGCTATTGTCAGCGAGAGGAACGTGTAAGGCAAAGACACTCACATCGTCGACTGAAGACGGCACGTCGTCATACCGCGGATCCGCGCGTAAGGCGAATATGGAAGATGGGCAGATGACAAGCCCGCATGCGAGGCACGCGTCAAAGAGCTCCTTCATCAGCTCTACCGTGTTCGTCTTCGCAACGCGTAGGCCGTTGCACGAGCCGGCCTCTGCATCGTTCTTGAATCGCGGGTGCTTCTCGAGGTGAACGCGGATCCAAAAGAACATGCCCGCGGCGGGAGTGTACGCACTCGCGAGACCTGTGCTCGCCACCTCGCGCTCAAAGAGCTCCGCAAAGAAATCGCGTCGGCGCTGGTAGTCCGCGCACAGGCTGCGCACCCATCGGTCGAACCCGCTGAGCTGCCAGCCTCCGTGGGGGCCGAGGAGCGCGACGATGAGAACTTGGGCGAATCCGGCAGGGTTTTGGGTGGAGAGGTCGATGAACTTGACGAGGTGATCCCGGAAGGACGGGCTGCTCGTGATCCACCCGAGCCGCATCCCGGGCGCCATGATCTTGCTGAAGCTGAGTGAAAGTGAGTTGAAGGCGCTATAAAGACGCTATGAGGTTGCGCGTGCGAAGGACAGACGACTGACCTGTCGATCCGGATCACTCGCCCGTCAACGTCCATAGAGAGGAAGGACGGTGCGGGTGGCTTGAACATGTCATTACTTGACTGAGGCAAATCGTATTGAAGGAAGAAGTACGGGTCTGGCGGCCATTGCAGTCAGGTACAGCAGTGTACGTAGTGTGTGAGCATGGACTCACCATCTTCGAGTATGATCAGATCGTAACGATGAGCTATAGCGTATATCTTCGTTCTTCTCTCCGCGTCCAAAGTCGACCCAGTCGGATTCTGACCGGACCTACAACATTTTGTCATCAGCTCCTGCCATCATGGCGTTCCTGATGAGGTCGAGTAGCCGGTAGTATTCTCACGGCGTGATATACAGGACGTGGGGTCTGCGTCCTCGTTCAGGGTCCCAGTTCGCCAGAATGCGTTCGAGCTCCTCTGGGATGATCCCACCTGCGTCGATCGTCACTGGAACCCACTTAATCCCGTGGGCTTCTCCAGCGAGGGGCATCGGCAAGAACGTGAACTCATCCGCAAGGAAGTGGTCTCCCGGAGCGCCGAGCATGCGGAGACACTTCGTAATCGCGTCGGCATTGCCTAGTGTCATAGTAGAGACGTGATTGGGCGCGTTGTGGTATGTGTTATTGATGTCGTCGACGATGCGGAGGGCATCCCTGAGGCCGGCGCCATGGCCGTATTGGAGTGAGCTATTCAGTAGAGTCCGCAGATCGTCGTCTTGAGACGTGCTGAGAACCTGCGATGGTGCAGAATCCCTGAGAGAAATCCAGCCCGCGACTGGATCATCGGCGGCGACGGATGCGATTTCGAAGTCAACGCGGCGGATCGGAAACCGCGACGGATGGGGATCTCCTGCAACACCGTCGTCAGCAGCATGCGTACACGCAGAACAAATGAACAGCATTTGTATGTACCATTGGCAAGCGTCACCAGCTGCGGGTTTTCTATTGCGATGCGCAAGACGTCCTTCAGCGGGTTCGTGCGTCGCGCTAGGGTCTCTGGAGAGAGGTGGTGAGCCAGGTCAATGAAGGCTGCCATTGTCCTGGCGGATGTCTCTGTTAACGTTGAGATATGATGGTTAGGGCCGTTGGCGAAGCTGAAGGAGGTTATATACGCTATCAGATAGCCGGCGGGATGCAGGCTGCTCGACGAGTCATCTTGTTATATAGGCGCGCAAGCTTGCCTGGTCTCGGTTCCAGTCGTAGCTTTCGGACTTGTCGCCCAGCCATTTGTCAATCACTGCTGTTGTTACGCTTGAAGGTCGATATGAAAAAGGCGGGATGCCGGGCCCCCGTTGCATGGTCATATGCCAGGATGCATCGGCGGACCACTTCATCCGTTTTGTTTTCGATTTGCACGTTACCACTGGCTACACCGAGACCGTGCTCGTTAGCGATAACTTTATGTTGCGCTCGGTGTGGAAAGAGAATATCGTGCAGGTGTGTGGGGTTGGTATTCAGCTTCTACGTAAGTTGCTAGCGCTCTTCGCCTCTCCTTTCTTACGATTCCTACAGCCTCAAATCGGGTTGGTTCGCGTGGTGCAAAAAGGCATGACCACCGCAGGACTCGAACCTGCAACCGCTTGGTAAGGGGACCTAGTACACACTGGCGATCGAAGCCAAGCGCGCTACCATTGCGCCAGGTAGCCATATCCATCTGCTCAGCACGTAAAATCTCAAGTGGCTGACTGATCCGATCTTCCCCACGCTCAAGAGTCAAACAGTCGAGGCAGACATAAGTACAGGCTCCTACCCACCACCCTTTCGAGTTGAGGAGGGGCGATATATGTACAGCGGGGTTGAGACTAAATTCCAGTAGTAGGTGAAAAGCGGGATCCAGAATAAACGCGGGATTAGGCGCCATACGAGAATCAGGTCACATGCTACATACTAACAGAGGACGACCCCCACCTCAACTCTCAAGAGCGGCTGGCAACAAGCAAACGTAAATACACGGAGCCCGGCCAAAAGACGCCCAAAATCCTCCCCATTTGGAAGGAGGCCTTGCGGGCGCTTGGTGGCATTTTTCAGAATAATCCGCATGCGAAGTCGCACTGCGTGCAGACATCTCGACGCGCGCGAGCAGCCACCGTCCTGCGCTTGAGCGTCACCTATCTGAAACAGGTATAATCACATGTTAAATAGGCCTACTATGAGTAGGACAATTGCACCTGCGTCGGCCTGCCTCGCGCACCAGAAGGCGACAGGTGAATGCACGGAGGTTTTACACTCGGCACCGTGAGGCTTGGATCTTGAAGACTCCAGGGTCGTGGGGGCTCGTGATTCAAGTCCAATACACATCCAAGCAGTAGCAGTATTGCCTTCGCTCGTGCGCGCGAGGTTACAACTGTTCCAATCGTGAGCCAGAAGTCACCAATCCAGGCGCGCACGCTTCCGAGACGCAGAGTTCAATCTTTGCCATCATACAGAAACCATTCGGAGCCACCGTGTTAACAACGAAAAAGTGCACAACCGTGGCATGTTCACGTTCTATTTAGCTATCATGCACAGTGCATCGAGACAGTGCATTGAGCGTACTAACGCTTCCTAGTCATACTCATCCATCCTGTCCGCGGGCAGACATCCATCATGGCCCCGCGCGGATGACTGCGTGGGCTCACCGGTCAGTATAGGTTCTTGCGAAGACATTTGGCTGTTCGCGAATCGACTGGCAGACCATCCGAAGTGTGCGCGGGGCTCCACCGCACTGCCCTAGTACTTGTATCAGATATTCTTATCGATATTGGACCGCGCGATCGCTGAACCATAATTTCGAGAATTCATGCTGTGTTTCCACACAGAGCGCAGGGATGAGTTCATTGTGCAAGCCAGGATATGAGCCCGATTCATACTGGGACGGTTGAGGACGGTGGCTGCTCGCGCGCGTCGAGATGTCTGCACGCAGTGCGACTTCGCATGCGGATTATTCTGAAAAATGCCACCAAGCGCCCGCAAGGCCTCCTTCCAAATGGGGAGGATTTTGGGCGTCTTTTGGCCGGGCTCCGTGTATTTACGTTTGTTTGTTGCCAGCCGCTCTTGAGAGTTGAGGTGGGGGTCGTCCTCTGTTAGTATGTAGCATGTGACCTGATTCTCGTATGGCGCCTAATCCCGCGTTTATTCTGGATCCCGCTTTTCACCTACTACTGGAATTTAGTCTCAACCCCGCTGTACATATATCGCCCCTCCTCAACTCGAAAGGGTGGTGGGTAGGAGCCTGGGCAAGAGTCTCTTAGACTAGGTACAAATATGTCCTGGATTTCTCCTTTTTGCATAATTGAAGGATTCAAGCGTCTGTCAGGGGGTAGGACGTTACTTTGGGCCGTCACTGTAGCAACTCTACAAAATGTTGGTCTCTACAAGCCCAATCCCAAGAAATTCCTGCGGTTAATGACAGTGCGGAGGTCATCAACATCGAGTAGGACAGTATAGTATCACGTGACCGCGTACGAACTGGCACAGCCACCTCAACACGTCGACGCGTCCGTTTATGGTTGGTTGCTTTGAGTCGTTGTAGATCCACCAATATGGCAAGTGCCTCGAGGATGCAGCCAGAACAAGTTCCAGTCACACCACCGCATCCCAGCTCGTGCACAGATACCATCAGCTTATCGCCCATCGATATGAACAGAGGCCATATGTATTCTGCATGCGCAACCCACCCCGACCACCCCTCGCCCAACATCCACCTCACCGTCCTCAAGCTACGTGTTCCCCATCTGTTCAGCTCTCGTCGTCGCCCCTCCCGCCCACGCAATCTTGCCATCATGCCCCAATCCGCCTCTACCAACAACCGCACAAACGACTTGAGCATAATCATGCACTTCGTCGGGCAGAATCTCGACGGACGCCAGGGAAATCCCAATGCCCCGCATTCCCGTCGTCCATTGATGTTGAGGCAGCTGGACTGCTATCAGGTTGGCATCCTGACTCACCATCTGCTTGCCACCAAGCGCAACGATGCGGATGTTGAGCGGCGCTGGGAAGAACTCCTGCAGAAAATCGAGGCAGCCTTCAAAGCCGCGAATCCTTCGCACGTGTCGCACGTGGACGCCGCCGGTGCGAATCCGTACGATAGCCTTGACCGATGGATCGAGGAAGCGGTACCGAGACACGTACAATTAATCCGCGACGCCTATGCCCCAGGCTCGAAGGAAGCCCAGGAACTAGTGAATCTCATCGAGACTCTCGAGAACACGCGGAAGAATCTGAAGACACTGGCAAGATCCATGCCCACCGATCAACAAGGTCGACTCAAGCAGCTGGACAACCTCACGGCGCGTATCATGATGGGTCTAGAGCGCCAGCAGAGGGAGTTGAGCGACGGACTTCCCAGAGTCGAGCCATCACACCTCTCACAGTTGGCAGACATTGCCAACGAAGGCGACTTCAGCGATTTCGCCCAGATGTGTGATTTGTCGTACTTATCCTCTAGCTCGCTCGTCGTCGACCCCGAAGGTATGTTGGCATCTTGTGTGCATCCTCACTTGCTCAGTGCTGATGCAGCATGGATATGTAGCCAACGCCAGTGACGGTTCTACTTCCATCGAGTATACCACTACTGGTGGATCGGGCGCACATGCAGGAGATGTAGCTGGGGGTATGGTCAGCGGAGTACAAGGTGCGCATCGTCGACAGGGTCGTCCGACGCACACCATTCTCTGACGTGTGATACGTGCCAGATGACTATGCGACACCTGATCCCAACGAAGTGGCCGGCGGACGCTGTATGTTGTCACCGTCGGCTCGATAATCCACACACTCACAGAACTTGCATCCGCAGCTACAGTCCATGCGTCGTTGACTAGTGATGCAAACCCTCAAGGCCCAGCCGGTGAGTGGCTCCAACGTGCGCTCCTCATGCACTTGCGACTGACTCATTGCCTGCTTTGTAGGCGATAGCGGCGCGTCACACGCCACCCAGGAGATGCAGCCTATCGCTGCTGCCGACATGGAGCGTTATCCGTCCGACTCCTCCGAGAAATCGGTGAGGATCCGCGCGCCCGACTCCCCGCGGTCTCGGTCCTCGTCGCCTCGCGGCCATCACGGCCCGCATGGCGCGCGCGCGATAGGCGGTGGATTACCCACGTCGACCCCGAAGATGAAGGCGCACGACGACAGCCGCAAATCATCTGGATGTGAGTTTGCATTGCTTTCGCTTTTCTGTGAGCACGTCGCTGAAGCGACACCTACAGCGTCGGGACGCTTCACGAACCTGTCTGCCCCTGCGATCCTGCCGCAGGACTTCTTGAGGCAACAAGCCCCTGACAGGGAATACTATGAGCAGGAGAGGAAGCGCGAGGTCGATCTAGTGAGAGCGCATCTCTTGACACTTCTCGAGAAGGAGAAGGAGGAGAGGAAGCACGAGGTCGAGAAGGAGAAGGAGGAGAGAAAACACGAGGTCGATCTGGTAAGAGCGCAACTCGAGGAGGAGAAGGAGGAGAGAAAACACGAGGTCGATCTGGTAAGAGCGCAACTCGAGGAGGAGAAGGTGGAGAGGAAGCGCGAGGTCGAGCAGGAGAAGGAGAGCAGGAAGCGTGAGGTCGAGCAGGAGAAGGAGAGCAGGAAGCGTGAGGTCGATCTGGTAAGAGCGCAACTTGAGCAGGAGAAGGAGAGCAGGAAGCGCGAGGTCGAGCGGCTGATGGCTGAAGTCGAAGCGTGGAAGACCGAAGCCACCAAGGCCAGAGAACGCGCCGACATGCTCGTGGATCACCTGATCCCGAAGTCCACCTGAGCGCCGCCCAGGTGTGGCCGCACATGGCTCACGAATCCCACTCCGTCCTCTGCTCCTTGTCCGATGCTGATACAAATGCTAGTGTTCCATCATGCTGTTGTCTTCGAGTTTTGTTTTCTGTGTATCGCTCTGTACCACCACGTCAATGATCCATACCGGCTTGCAAGTGTATTGATGGCTGTAGCAATGCCTGAACACCCCAATCTGCTCGGACTCTGAGTGAGCGATGCAAGTCATCGGAATCAACGCTCGGCCATAGTGATTTATAGTGGCGGTCAATAGGACACTGGTCATCACTCGTGGTCGTCCGAGCCACCGTTCCTCTAGTAGCATATGTGTACATACAACAATACGTCCCGGGCCCCAATCCTAGCTCAGACACCATCGACAACGCAGGGCCCACTGCTGACGGAGGAGTGAACGATCACGTTTCCCTCTCATCTCGACCCGGTCCAGCCTCTTCCCGCAAAATGCCTTTAGTCCCAGGCCGCTCCCTGACCTGATCAATCCTCGACTTGACATCGGGGTGTGCACGCAATTTGAACATTAGCCCTAAAGTATATGCAGACAAGGAATGTAGTGAGGACAGGACCCGCGGCCCGCCGAGAGCGCGACCACCGCGGCGAATAGACGAAAGCAAATCACAGACCGCATGAGTTGGTGTGGAGAGCATAAGTAGAATCCCGGATTGACCACCCGGATAACGCCGTAGCATCCGCCCATGACGGAGTTCATTACTGAGCAGATGGAAAACGACGTTACTTCGTGAGATTTGGCTCGCGCCGGCACCGTGAGCTCGTACGCACAATCAGCATAGGAATTGCAGCCCTCGTTTGCGAGATGGGCACACCAGGCGGGCCGAGTGCACAACGCGCCCTTGACGTAGCTGGCTCCGTGTGTCGCGAGATCGCGATCGTT